TTTTTGATATGCCATTAATAATAGAATCAACCTTAAAATCGTTTTTTGGCAATTTTTTATGAAGTTATAGGCCATTATATACAATTTAATCGTGACGTCACTGGGGAAAAAAGTAACAAAAGATTGTGTAAATAAAACCGTGTAGGGTATCTGCCACGTACGATCTTTGCGTGCATGCAGTAACCATGGCTATAACTCTTTTGTTGGCAACCGCTGATGCAGTTATCAAGTCCTATGTATAATCGATACATCTTTACCAAACCACATTTTTCTGAAATGCGGCGATTGATTTCTAGGCCTAACATTTTTCGCGGAGGATATTTTACAGCCTGGCACATCCCTGTCTCTTATACACATCTAGATGTGTATAAGAGACAGGTACATATATCATGTACTGGTATATATAAATATAAGCCTATATTATATATATATATATATATATATATATATATATATATAAACAACATAGGGTTCCACGTGTGTTTCAACAGGGAACTTGAAACTCTTTATTGGAGAAAGCTATTTCAACATATCCTTCTTTATCCTAGGTCCTAGGTCTTTATCAAGGTATATGAAACAACTAGCAAAAAGTTTAGGCAAACATATATATTAGGAGGAGTTAGTAACCAATGCGAAATGTGTGTATACGATTTATCAGTACTGTATCTCAGAGGTCCCAAATTGGTGAATTAAGTGAAAGTGAAGTAATTTGTTGTTTATAGTGTAAGTTCTCGGTACTTTCTATTTCGTTTATTAACTGTACGTATGACATGTTAATTCAACGTGTGTCATGCCTTTACCAAAAGCCATTACATTTATTATGTATTTAACAGAAACAGAAACAGTAGTACTGTAGTCCAAATTTTGTAAGTGACAAACGAAGGGCAAAATAAGTTACAGTATTTTAAGGTTTTATTGAACTTAAGTGGTGATGCAAAGGTATGCAGTTGTTTAAACTGTAAGTACAGTGCCCTTAATACTGTACTTGAAAGAGAAAAATGCATCCACTGTAGAGTGAGTGGAGTTAAGTTATATACAATGCAGAATCAGTGGCGTATCTGTTAGAGGCGGGGGATGCGCGGCGGCCGGCTCACGCCCCTCGAAAATTTACTCAAATTCACATCCCCTCAAAACAAAATCACCGTCAATTTGTTAAAAATTACCTAATCACCTTATTTTGCCCCGCAACTGATCATCGAGTCCTCCCACTTCACCTTCCATCAGCATTTCAAGACTTATAGTAGATTCGCCACAGTGCGAAATGTGTATAGCCTACCCTGTTTATCAGTATCTGTCTAACACTTTAGCTGGGTTTTTTGCAATCCTTAATAACAATCATGTATTATCATATTATAATATATATATATGTATATATATCCTTTTATGTATGCAAACGTCTTAACGAAATGGCCACACCGGCCTTTCTTTGGGAAGTGAAACCCAAAAGAATAAATTTGCACATGTGTAGAACAACGCTATTTATCGAGATAGAATACTTTTGATAAATAATCACAATAAATCATGGTAGGCCTACTGTATATTAGTTACAGAGATGAGCTAAAAACCGTCCTGTGATAATGCTATAATTATATATTTTTAAGCCAATTTCAAAAAGTATATACATTTTTAAGAACAATATTTTCTATGACCCATATGAACATTTTCTATTCATTCTACCCCAAGGTGTTTGATAAAGCTTCATTGTGCAGCATTTGTGAGATAGCAATTCGTTTACTACTTTATTTTTCAGAAAGAAGCCACGATCTTCTGCAATGGAAGAGCAGATAAATTTAGTGTGCTCTGGCCTTCCCGTTTATAGAGCATATGCAAAATCTGAGAAGGTTAGCAACAATCTATTAGCAAAACATTATAATGTGGCTGATGATGATTATTCGTTGATATTCCTTCAGACCGGAAGCTTCGTAGAGGGTTTCCCTGATGTTGTAGAAAGTGATGTTGATTGGATGGTAATTCTCAACTCCCCTAAAGAAATTATCACCGCAGATTGGCAAGATAAAGTATTCATGCCAGTTGAACATGCACCAGCACATGTGAAAATCCAGATTCCGGTAGCAGACTTACAAAGATTCCAGAAAAAATGTTGGGTTACTTCAAAATCTTTAGGCCTTCTAAACGCTGTAGAGGGAGAAGAAGCATTTATATCTGCAAAAAGAGCACGTAATCTTAATAAGAATGATTTTCGTCCGGACTGGATGAAAGACAACAAACCAAGTTCTCCATGGGAAAATCCTGAAAATGATGAAACATCCCCATCCTACTGTCTTCAAAGTCAGGAAATGAAGAATGTAACCGTCGATCGAGTACCTGCACTCCAATGTGAAGGCTGGCCAAAAGTTGCTCACGAATGGATTGGCAGAAAGCGTAACTGGCCTGCAGCCTCATTAGTTGAGAAAATCTCATCTGGTGATTTTTACATTGTTCCGAAGCCTTCGAGTGCTTCCGGAGACCATGAAAACGAATGGCGACTATCGTTTTCTTTCGCAGAAGCTGAACTTCTGCAGAACTTTGGTGACGTACAAGTTCGCGTTTATTACGTTTTACGTACACTGTACGTTAAACACTTAAAAGAAAGAGTGAAAGGCACTTTAAGTTCATATAACATAAAAACAACTTTGCTGTATATGTTACAGGATCATAAAACAGACTTCTGGTCAGAAGAGAATACCGTAGCTATTATCCAAACCTTCTTTGAAAGACTTCATCAATATCTCAAGGAAGGATTCTGTCCCCATTATTTCATACCAAAACATAACCTTCTGTATAAAATCTCGAGACCAGAGCTCGACAAAGCTGCTTATGAAATATCAGTGTTAATTGCAGATCCGGCTTCAGCATTGAATGAAATTACTGAGAAGGGATTTCTGGGAATGATGCCACGCTTTGGGTTTTGGAACGTGGAAGTGAGGAGCAGATTAACATTAAAACTCATGGAGCTACCGGAACACGAAGCATACACAGCCATCACTTCTAAATCTGCGAGCAACTTAGCATTTTGTAAAACTATTGAACGAAAATGTTTTGTAGACATTTTACACGACACTGCATGTGCTATCAAAGCATTTCCTGGAAGTGACAGCTTTGTAAATATATATTTGCCTCTGATATTTCGCGGTTATCACATGTCGTCTGCAACCGAAGGAGACGGCTCTACCCTGACATTCAATCAATTAAAGATGGCACGACCGGATCCAGCATTTATGGAGATGAATGTTGAACAACTGAATAACTCAATCTATGTATGGGTGGAGCTATGCAGGGTTGCTTTAGAACAAATTTTGCGAGGGGGGAAAACTAAGTTAATTACCCATTGCAACACAGCATACAAACTCTTAACACTTAACAAGTTTGAAAAGGATAACACAGTGGTACCAGAATTTAAATTGTTCCATAAAATGTGCTCAATTGCCTCTGGTTTTCTTGCTTCGGCGAATCTTAACGCCAAGGAAATTGACTACGAACAACTTCTCACTGTTATGGATGGAAGTTTACCGTCAATTGCCGAAGGATGCTTACAGGAAAAAGACCTATGTGAGCCAGTTGTCTTCGTGTTTACTGGTGGAACCAGTCAAATGGCCAACAAACTTTATAAAGTATAATTAATTCTCACACTGATATTACATTGAATTTCTCCTAAGGAAAGACCAAATCGTTTCAAACATATTTGCTGTCATATTCTGGGATATATATATCTGTCTCTTATACACATCTAGATGTGTATAAGAGACAGTTTCTCAAAGTGTACTTTCCGGCCATCTAGAAGTGCCATAAACATGAACTTGTCCTACCTCAGCCCCAGCCATGGTGGGGCTGAGGTAGCGTAAATCTCCTATCTGTAAATTTACTGTCTGAACCCCTCCCCTCCGGTTTATGTCGAATTCCAAGATCCAAATATGTCATAAGTTGGCGAATCATCTTCCATCCATAATTTTATTGATGGAATATCAACTATGGGTCGGCCTAAATTTTACAAATTAAAAATTAAATGGGGGATAAAAATAAAATTACCTTAAATTAGTTTTAATATTTCAAAAAAATGGCTATTTTTTCTAATTTTAGATGTATTCACAACATAATATAATATAATATAATATATATTAATATAATATAATATAAAAATATCTTGAGATGTAATATGCCAACTAGATTTCCTAGTCAATGGCTGCCAATAAAACTGATATATTTTCAGTGGCTAAATTTATTATTATTATTATTATTATTATTATTATTATTATTATTATTATTATTATTATTATTATTATTATTTATTATTATTCAAATTTTTGAGTTTGACAGTGTCACTTCCGGCCATGGTGGGGTGAGATCGTTTCTATTTCGAATTCCAGTATTCGCCACTGTTTAATGTTGTACTTCTATCTATAATCCTATTGTTGGTATATGGACAATGAGTAATATTTAGACATGGGGGCCCGTTAGGAGTTTTGACACTTCCAGAGGGTTCTGCAAACGCAAAAAAGGTTGGGAACCACTGATATTGAATTCCTATGAACACAAAGATCATTTTTTATGCTATTACATTACTCATTTTTTTTTTTGCGTGTACCATGGTAGGCATTAAGCCTAATGTTAAATATCGGTTAGTTGTTGTCGACTTTGAATGAGTAGTATGCACAGTTCCTTTTAGTACACTGCAAACTTTTATTCACACAAACTGTACGTTGGTTACAATCAGCTAAACTCCAGGTTTCAGATGTTAGAGAACCCTTTTAGAGTGGAGTTTGCTCAGCTCTGTACTTTTCTTCTGTGTAATCCTAATTGAATCTAACTTACTGACTACTCACTACTCACTACTCACTACTGACTGAGTGATATGGGGGTGTTTGCCTATTATACTTTAGGTAATGGGGGTGTGTCTCAAGTAAGTCACCCCATACTTTTAGAGTTTCTGATTGGATCATAGAGAAATTCTTTCTCTATGATTTAGTAACTTGTTTACCAAAAAACTGCTAATTAAGATGTATCACAAACTTCAGAGCTTAGGCTCAAAACTGACAATCATAGATTCATTGTGAGAAAGGCAAAGTCTAACTGACTAGGGTAAAGTTATACAATGTCCAGTTATAATAATAATAATAATTTGGATTTGTAAAGCGCAAAATACATAGGTCTCTATGCGCTAGAAACCAATTTAATGCATTTATCAGGTGAAGGGTATCGATTCCAATGGTTATGCAAGTTAATACCATTGAACCTTAATACTACATTACACTAAGTTATTGGAAGAGA